CTAAATCTTTTTAAGAACTCTTTTATAAAGAAAAGCAATACTTTTGCAATAGGAACCCTCATTGACATTGCTATTTTTGACTTTCTTGTCATAAGGACACACCTAAAATTTTACAAACTTTTGCAACAGTAATAATCATTCATATTTACTATTTTTTATTTCCATAAGAATGTAAAATGATTACTATATAATCATTAACATATGATACATAATAAAGCTACATATATTCCAAAACTTGGGCATATAATATATTCCTAGTAAAATCTACAAGCACAGATAACAAGATTCCCTTTACTTGTGAAGAGGCTAGAAGTTGTCTCAAGATTCAAATCCTCAAAAACATTTACAAAATAGAAAGTGAGAAATCATTTTTATCTGTGCAAGATTCATATTCTTGCTCTTTCCCAGGAGTATTTCATTCATAAGAAACATTTACTAGAATTTGTACTTCTTCATTGTAGAAATCAGATTTTTTTAAAAGGAAAATCTTCACATAAAATGCAAATGCCCAGAACTATATTTTTAACACACTTGTGTACCTAGTTTTGGCTAAGAGAAGACCATAGCCTTCTTGGGTTTTATATAATAAAATTGATTTTTTTTTCTGTTTTCCAATGATCTTCAAAAGGAGATCTCTGCAAGTCAACAAACATCTATTATCTATGCCACCTTCCATGGTCAAAGATGGCTCCATACCAAATGCACTGCAATTGATTTAAAAATTCTTTGTGAATTTTCCTTTATACATTGCTGTTTTAGGTAGTCTTTGAGAAAAATAAGTTACATGCTATTTTTTTTCTAATTTAGCTCTAATTATTTATCTCTCATTCATATAAATACCATTCATGTGTAAAGGGAATACACATTTTTTAATGTAGTACTTATCAGGAAACTGTCTCTTTCAAACTCAAAAGCAACTTAAACTTGAATCAGCAGTAAAAGAACCACTGCTCTTCACCTGGATGAATTTTGTGAAGGGAAAATGATATTTCATTTCTTTTCACTTAAATTCCTTTTCTGACCAGAGATATTAAATATTTTCCCTGTTATCTATTGGTCACTTATAGACATGAAAAAATTGTACTTTGCCCAATTTCAAATTAGGGGCTATTTTTGCTTGCTGCTTTCAAAGACTTGCCAGTAAAAATGAAGATTTCATCTGACACAAATACACTACACATCTTTTAAAAGTACATTGTTTTTCCTCTGGTTAATATTATTTTCTAATCTACAGAGGTTTAATTTTTTTTATGTTGTTAAATCAACCTCCAGAATTCTTGCTTTTGAAGTCCTTCTTAGGAATGTCTTTGTCAGCATAAAAAAATGTATAGACAGGAATTTATGTTTTCTTCCGGTACTTTTCTCACTTTCTATATTTAAAAATGTTACTCTATACATCTGACACTTGTTTGTAAGATAAAAACCTAGCTACTTTTCTCCAAATAGATTATTTCTCCACCATTCATGAATAACTTCTCTTTTCCTAATAGGAAATTTCATCAGTAACAAGTTCTAAAGTCTTACATAGACTTGGGTGATTGGGCATGTTCCATTCCATTCATTTATCTGTTTTTTCAATTGTTGGTAAATCAGTAATCTGTGGAAATCTACAGCACATTTTGATATCTAGAACGGCAAAGCTTTGTCTTTTGTCTACTACAGAGAAATTTGAATTTCATCACAAGAATTAAAAACAGCATGCGTAACTCGAAGTGTTTAAAAACTCTGATATGTTTACTTGGTTTATGGAAAACAATAAATATGGGAAGACCACATAATTTAAGAAAATGAGTCCACCTGTTCAAGAGCACAGCTATCTCCCCACTTCAAAGTTGTCCTCTAAGGTCCTTCAGTGAAGAACACATGTACAAACGTGTACACTGATATAAAATGGATCTTGAATTTTATCCCAAGAAGTTTTATCCCAGAGGCTCATCTATCATGGGAATTACTTTTCTCATTACACACTTTCCTGTATATAAAACTGTACATTCGAAATAACATGCCATTTTATCTTTATGTTTAATTTGGTTTCTATTATTACTGACACGCAGTTAAGTCACTGAAAAACTGTCAGGAAAGTGCTCTCTAAGGGAAATTACGAGTGAGTCCAAGTCTAGTTCAAGCTTTAGCCGCCTATAAAGTTTGCTGGGCACTGGACCCTACGCTGGTTTCCAGGAGCCTCAGAGGGAAACTGACAGCTGGGCCAGGCCCCCAGCCCCCGGCCCCTCCCAGACCCGCCCCGCCCTGTCCTGCCACCCCTGTGACCTGTTCTTTCTATCACGCACGTCCAGGCCATTCTGTCTCAGGAAGAGTACTCGCTGGACCTTCCTGACATCTCCAACACAGGCAGCTCTGTGGATTTTTTTTAAGTCTCTCCTGCGGATGTGGTAGCCAGGCTGTGAATTCCTGTGGTCTCTCTGAGGGCTGATGGTACAGCCCACGGGTGACTCGCAGTTCGCATGGCAAAAGCAAAAAATCGGCTCATTATCTCTACGAATAGGCTTTCCACCACCACTGGGGTCTGGCTGGGAAGCTGTGTCCGTTGGACTCTATCCGTACACAGTAACCGCAGCCTAACAACGCCGATGCAGTGTCCGTGTGCCTCGGAACCCGG